ATAATCACAATTTTAAAAAAATTAATCTATCAAACTCAGTTGCACGCTCGGGTTCATGTATTCAAATATCTATTCCAACGTTGCCCGAGCAATAGCCATCACCATCACCGTAAGATTCATTTCATTTGCCTACATACAATAAGACGTTTCCACGTATTCTCATAAATTAACGTCATCAACACTGGATGAAAACATTTCCGATATCAATGTGTAACATTTTGTGTCGCATATTATGCGATAAGTCTGTAAAAATAACAAATAGGCTTCATTAGAGAATTTTCGAAACCGATTTCTTGGGGATACGTTTTTTTTATTACACCTTCGACATCATGGTAAGTAGCACATTTATCGTTGAATTGCAGTAAGCACCACTGAGTCGAATATAAGCATCTTTTAAACATGTACGCCTTTCAATTGTGAATCAAAAGACAAAAGTGCATCCCCTTTAAAGCCTTTATGCCTAAAAGGTAAGGTTACATGATCCTTATAAAGTATGTTCTCTTAATGTACGTACCTACCTTTAAGAAATGATGCACGTGCGAAGACCTTTTTAAAAAGAGCTGTTTGCTTTGAAACGCCTGGATTACAGTACGAAGATTAGAAAATAAAATTCACATAAAAATACTACGCCAATGAATGGCAATTAATGCATAAATAAACCAACTTCTAAACATGTTTGCCAATTCCTTAAGTAAAAAACAGAAAAACTTTAAAGCGCCAAATTTAAATTGTCTGCAGTTTTTTTCGATCACCCGGTACATATTGTATTATGGCACTCTCCAATTCACAGTCCCGCAATACAAAAGTATTTAGTAGAATAACATAATTAAATACGGACAGATATATTTCATTTTCTTTTAGCAGACACGTGAAACGTTAACTATTTTTTCGTTTCACATGATTGCACTATTTAAGCAATCCGTCGGAAACAGAACTTGGCGTTAACAATGAACTGGCTACGCATAAGTAGCGAATGCAACATCAGCATACGTTATTCAGTTTATTATCAGTGCACCTAAGCTCTTCAGCCTATCGTCTTTCATAACTATTCGTTTGGCAATCGATCTAAGACAAGACAAAATAAACCCCTAAAGCAGATTTGAAAAAGCGACAGGGCACCTCGGTGTGACCTTATGGGGTCATTGGATTTGGCCCAATTTTAATAGGCCTTACATGTGGTATATAGGTCAAATGTACAATCTTTGAACTGAATAGGCCCAAGCGTTTTTTTTTAACTTAATGCCTCGTGAACCCCCACGTGGGTTTCACGCTCGACTATACGACCCCCGTGACTGGACCTGGAATCCGGTTTTTAATAATCTTTTATTAAAATGAACGTGTTTATTTTGCTTTCAATGTACAGAATCATACCCTTACTGTAACCATTTGGGCATTACTGGTTTTTGAGTAATATAGTTTAGAGACTAAGCTAAAGGAATACTCGAGATTCTTTTGCGTACATTAAGTACGGTTTTATCAAATCCCTGGGAGGTCGTTATTGCCTCGGGAAAATGTGGAACAGAGTAGAGCATTTTTTTTGGAGTGCAAGGGACGAAAACTTGAAAGCTTCATCTTGAGCCCATATTTTCTGAGAAGCGTCGAGTCGGCTTATCCATTCGGTAGTGCCAAGTCAGATTTTCCAGTGGGGTGTAGTCGACTCGACACGTCAGGTGGAATCTTAAGGTTAAATGTACGAAGTGACTAACCCCAAAATGATGAACTCGAGTGATTCCGCGAGGTGAATTGGACACGATAAAATAAATTATCATTAAAAAAATGCTGGATATGAATGAACTGTAATCCAGTAATTTTCCTTTGCTTTCAATAATTAATGAGACAAATTAGCGTACTATTTAGATTTTTTAAGTGTCATTTGCAGAGCGCAGCAGCATGCTTTCTGAAACAACATGCATTAAAACTTTCACGAAGTACTGCTGTCATATATTAATTTTGTCAGGACAACGGAGGGATGCTTGTATGTCTAACTACCTCCGGATTACTCTTAACAATGAGTAATCACGCGTTGTGCCTGAACGCGTCGAGATTAACAAAGATTTCCTGTTTTAGTTGTTATAATCTTTCTCATAGCCTACTATACTTACACCATATTCAGCCCTAGCCCGCTTGATAGAATGAAACTGCAATATGTAACCTTCCCTTGTGATTTGAAACACAATTATCCAACTAACGGGGCTCGAAAGTCGATCTAATTCTCATTCTGCAACTAAATTGCATCCACTTCTAAAAAGGAAATCGAGTTTGAGGCATGCTAATATAACAATGGAAAAATGTATAAAGCATAATGGGTGCTTTACATTAACATTTCTCCAAAAGTTTTAATATAATTAATAACCGTGACCTCAATTTGCAATTTCTTTGAATTATAAATGAGAAACGTACTTCCAAAAGGCTTTCACAAACCTACCTATGTCGGAATAATTATTAATGCACACATTTCATTTTCATCAAGTTCGTGGCTTTAAAGTTTGCAACTGCATAATGCATATACTTACAAATGTAGGAAAACAAATAAAAAAAGCAATAAGACAATCCCGAGGCGAGATTGTTGTAGAGTTGTTAAATAAAAAATTCTCGTGCTTTCATTTTGTAAAGTGTAACAACTCGCGTAATTTAAAATTCCTTGTTTCCTATAATAATAGTGTGTGTATTTCGCTCTGCTTTATACGAATGCTTAAGCGACGTTTTGCTTGACAAGGAATAGTAATCATAGTGGAAGAAATTCTTTTGGAAAATTTCGTATATCCAGTGTGCAACATTGAAAACGGATGTGAAAAACAACAGTGACTTTCAGCATTCATTCATACCAAATCGTGTCATTCTGAATTTCAAAAACCACTCTTGGCTCTAACAATGAAAAGTTCAAATTATCGAAACAGTGATTCTAATTGGTTCTATTGTAACTTAATAATTAACACTAATTTATTACTAGTCGAAGGTGGAGCAAAACAAAAATGTTCGATGAAAGTACTTCGTAATTATAATTATTATAATTAATATTCATCATTTTGCATCTTTCTGGGCCTTTCCGGGCCCTTACGAAGCCAGTTCGCCAAGACCTTTTTGTATGTCTTCTTCAGTTCTACTCATAAGGGAAGTTGTAGCTTTTGAAATCAAAAGAAAGGTCAATTAATTTGACCACCCTATCAATTCAGTAGTACTCTAAGGGCTAGTGGCACAATATTTTCTTAAACATTTTTATTATTGTTGATATTTGGATATAAGATAGTTATGTATATGCTGGCAGCAATTTCACGGATGGCGCGGCGGTGGTGGGTGGCCGAAGAGGGTTAAAAATGTTTATGCATTAGTTTTTAAATGATTTCCATTGATTTTTGAGGGAGAGGAAGAGGGAGAGGGGTATTTTAAAACATTTCGGATTGCTTATCGACCTCAGAAAAAAGCATTTAATCCATCCGCTCACCAACATACATCGAGTTACGGGGAAAACGTGTCGGGTATGGTAGGAAATAATAAATATATAAGTTGATTAAAGGCATAATAACAGTATCAATAGTAGGGTAGTCCTTGGGCCAGTCGACGTTTAGTGTTCAGTGTATTATGAATTTATGAGAAATAGTATATTAAGATACAAGTGTATAATCAAGTCTTTAAAGCACGCGCAACGAGTTTAAGGGCACGACGCAAAGCGGAGTGCCTTTAACGTTGCAAGTGCTTTAAAGACCAATTATACACGTGTATCTTATAGTATTTTTTATTATACCTGCAGTATAATCTAAAAATAGGAAATACAATGAAGTCATATTGACGTTATACTCGAATACATGTCTAATTAAGTGGGCTGGGTGTTCGTAATTTCACGATTGCCATGGAAATGTCACTTGACGTTTGCTTATAAAAATCATCGTCTTTGTGAATTAAACGATTTCCGTTGAAAAAGATAATACACCGCCCATTAAATCGATTGTTGTAAAATCTAAACAAACGTTGGTAGGAGTAAAATCCAACTCCAGTAAAGCCTAAAGCCTATTATAAAGAATATGAAAAGTTGTTTCCATGGATGAATAGGAAGTTACTTACGAATACAGTATTAAATGCATCCATAATGCTGGCATATATGAAGGAAATGTCAAAGGTATTTAAATCTTCTATATTTTGGTGCATTCATTCAAAACTTTAAAGCAATGCTGCGATTAAAAAGTGGAACAGATTTGGAAGCATACCCTAAATTACGCGCGTTTGTGAAAGCTTCAACCAAAGGATAGGTACAAAAGCCAAAGAAATGTTCTGCATTTACAGAAAGCGACCTAAGAGGATTTTTTATTTCATCCAGATGACAGTTTCAAAAGTCATACTTGAAGTATCGTTACTTAGCAACTTTAAAGCACGTGTGTTTTAAAGGCCCTTTTTCGCACGCATTTGAGTGTTTAAAACGGAGATTGTGATTCAGGTATAATAAAAAAATAATTGTTTTAAAGATGGGTGGGTGGTTTTCAATAACCTTTAATAATTGCTGGGTACCATTTCCAAAAAAAAAGAATTCACAGATACTGTTCGTATAATTTTTTTAGAGATTTGTTAAGTGTTTGGAATTTTAGTTGCACCCTGAAAATCAAAAATGTTAACATTTGTACTTTTTATGCAGTGGTTTTCGTTCATGAGTCTAGAATTTTAACATTACCGTCACGAAGTTTCGAAATATATTAACGCCAACAATAATCAAATTATTATCGATTACAAATTGTTGATGGGTAAAGCTGCCTATATGCTTTTATTTTTAAAAACTACTTCCTACAGAAATCATATTCGAACAAGAAATATCGAAGTCAATACGAATTTAATGAAAATATTAAAAAGAACATGCAACGAATACATGTTATTCTTGAAAATAAGCAAATATCGTTACAAAATTGTACTTTACATTATAAAAAAAGCATCTTTAAATAATTTACAACTGTAAAATAGCTTTAATTTTCTATACAAATTTTTTTACTATGGAAAAAAGGTAGTGTGACGGAAATGTTTATGAAGGGACGGTAATGTAACAAAATTACCAAAAAGTAAACATGGTATTTATTAAAAAGAAAACCAAACTCAAACATTATAAAAGGCATTAGAACACTGTAAAACTAGTCAAGGGACTCCATTAGAGAGTTCAATGAATCAGAGTTTTCAAACTTAAAAACACGTGAAGACAATTTGGTAGGAACTTTCAGAGGGCAAAGTACTCCATCTTGTGGAATCTTCTGGACGTCTGCTTTTTGTGGCCACATAAAATTCCTTTTGGATCTAGTCATGAATTTTATTTCTAGACTATTACCGTCAGCATATAACACCTGTCCTGGATACCACTGATCATCAAAAACGACGGCCACCCAATCGTCTTTCTTATATTTCCCACTGATTTCATTTACTTCCGTATTTTCTTCCCGTGTCGTATTACCCTTAGATACAGAAATTGCGGTGCCTATCTCTATTTTATCTAGGTCGGGGTTGCTACGATTACCTGTGATTTGTTAAGAAAATGTTCAGAGAATAAAAGTACCTACCTACTTTTATCAAATAACTCAAACTAAAAAACGTTTTTAAAAGGATACATTTTTTGGACATGCCAGATTTCAGTTGATACTGACTCGGTGTAATAGCATTATGCGGACAGGAAATGGAATTCCTACACTGAAAACACGACAGTTCTCGCAAATACAAGGTATCACTGTTCGAACTGATCCAGGAAACTTGATGCAACTTCATGGTGTTAGGCAATGGTTGTATTTTCTTATCCTGTAGTAATTCCTCGACTTCTAATATTTCCGCTCCAGAAATTTGAAAGATGCTTGTCCTTTCAAGTTTTTCTTTCATTATTTCTAGAAACTGCTCAATACACACGATACATCAATCAGTTCCCTGAGCGACACTCTGGTCAGCAGTTCGTTTGACAAGCCCCCCAACTCCATCTGCAACACTTTTTCCGTGACCACACTCAAAAAAATTCCAGGATGCATTTTTGAGCTCCAACTTTTCACAAAAATGTGCAAACAAATAAAAATTATTTTTGTTACGGTATTGGGTTGTGGGTCCGTCACTCATAACGTGGATTACTTTCGCACGTGTGTGTTCAGTTGTAATTTTCGAAAAAATTGGCAAAATATGCGCCCATATAGCACAAGGATCATGTCGAAGACAAGAAGAAGTGCTACAAAACGTTTGGCATTTGGTTACCCCGTTTTCTTTATAATAGTAGGCCCCAGTATGAAGACTTAATTGGACCTTTGAAGCTCCGAAATGGACACTTTGAACTTCATCAGTGTATTTAAAATTGTAGTTTTCCGAGAAGTCTATTATTAAGCAAATTTCATCTTCTGCCATTTCAGTTTTTACTCTTTTCAAAAAGAGACCCTGGTGATAAATGCGGTAAGAATGTTGTAAAATTTTTGGAGTTTCGTTATTAAAAACATTGATCAATTCTTCAGCAGTGGCATTTAGCCTTAATTTCTTCGTCACTTTTACAATTTTCAATTTATCCTTGATGACTCTGCTCTCTTGTATGGTACGCCATTGATAATAGTGTAATACAGTGGTGGGTTCAACTCTCTGAAAACTGATTTCAACGGTCTTTACTTTACAAATCTGGCACATTCTGTACATACAACTCTTAGATATACTATCACAGCAAATAAATTCAGAGAGGTTTAGGAGAGAATTGATATTGATAACTAAATACTGTCTTAATGTCCGAATAAGGAAATTAAAGTTTGAATGTTTTACACAAAGGCACGTATCTCTCTGTGTTAATTTCGGAGTAACGACCCAAAATGGTTTAAGTCTTGTGAATGTAGTATAAGAAACTTTGACATTATTTTCATTTTTAAACTTCCTGTAAAGGTTATAAAGAGTATCAGTGAGTAATCTCTTTTGTTTGGTAATACTATTCTTGGTCAGAGTGTCATTTTTTCCTGGAGTAACAATGGAATTGGGATCACTGCAGAGGAAACTTTGTACCTGACACTTTAGCAGTACTGTGAGCGATTTTCTTTTTCTCTTGTTGTAATTTATTTTCTTATCGTTGGTTAAAAATTTTCGTTGGTTGTACGTAGAGGCCAAGTTTTTCATAGCATTCATCAGCTTATATTTTTTTATTAATCCTCCAGAAACGCATGAAGACAAAACTTCTTTTTGTTGTAAAGTGGTGCACGTATTTTTATTCAACTCGATTTGCTTAGTTAAAACTTCGCCAATGAGTAGTTTCTTCTTAATTTCTCTTGTATCTCCTCTCTTAATAACCTCTTCTACTGCTTTTTTTGGAGTTGGTGGCTCATTATTTTTGACTTTATTTTTTAAGTAAAAATATTTGTTTTTCCATTTTACAGTCATCTTTTCTTGCCGCTTCCGCAAATGTCTTTCTTTTAAAAGCAAATTTGAAGTTTTTGAACGTGTACTCAACACTTTTTTTCTGCCTAATTTAATTTTGATACTAACAGATGGTTGTGCGTCGCCGAGTCCTTCAGTATTGTTTTTATTTAATTTCTTTTTTGCTTGGTAAGTATGATTATTTTTTCTCCACATCTTTCTCTGTTTTCTTTGTTCCCTTTTTGATCGCTCAGAAATCGGTTTAAGCTTTCCCTCCAATTTTCTTTTCTGGTACCGTTCACGTTCTTTCTCTTTTTCCCTTTGATACATCATCGCATCCGCTTTAATCCTTTCTCTTTGTCTTCTTTTTCTTTCTCTTGCCATCTCTCTTTGTCTGTCGGAGTCCACGGTCGACATTTTTTTAGTGATTTTCTTTTTCTTTTTAGTTGATTGAAGCGGAACTCTTTGAACTTTTTTTTGTCTCCACAGGAACCTTAATGTTATCATTCGCTAGCCATTTTGATTGCAAAGGACCATTTTTATCGGATACAGGTTGCTGTTTTTGTTCAATCTCAGCTTTAGTCTCCTTTTTTCTCGCCTTTTTTAGTTTAGTTTTTAACGCTTTGTTTTCATCCCGGCGTTTTGCTGCCTGCTCTCTCATAATCCTTAATTTATTTTGAAGTAAAATCAGCCGTTCATTTTTTGGTTTGGTTCTGTCTGGGGTTTTTAAAACGACTGTCACTTCTTGATTTGAAGTACTCGGAATACATAGGGAAAGTGACGTACTTGAATCCATCATGAAACTAAGAAGACTCTCACCTATATATAATATACGATACCATAAACAACATGATACCATCTATACTCCGTTCTAACATTACCGTCCCGCCCATAACATTACCGTCACATTTTACCCTTTCTGTAAACGTGACGGTAATGTTCGTGACGGAAATGTTTAATTACAAGTAAATAGCCCCTAGATGTTTTTGAAAATGGCAGTAAAGTTTAAGGTTAGGGAAATTTCGTTGTTGGCGGGGTTGGTATTATTAATAAAATAAAAGTATTATGATAGGTATCATTATAACTAAATGGTCTTATGGGACGGTAATGTTGAGAGAAAAAATATTTTACACAAAACATACCTTTAATACAAAACCAGCATGAGAAACAAGAAAACTTTTTGCACTCTTGACATCCAGCATTGACTCAATAAGCTAAGCGAGCTGTGGAACTAAGCAAGAGCGACACGTGCGCGATCTGTCGGTAGAAATGGGCAGCTAAGCTTGGAGTGACGGTAATGTTAGCATTAATGGGTTTATTTAATATTATTTTAAAAAATAAACAAATTATTATTACCTGGTGTTTTAAAATATGAACTGAGTAAAACAAACGTTACCAGAATATAAAACAATATTTACTTTTTGCAATTAGGGTAATATATAATGAAAATTTAAAGCGAAAGTTAAGAAGTTCAAAAAGTTGACCGTGACGGTAATGTTAAAATGGAATTTTAAAAATAAAAAAAAATCACAAACTGAAATTTGTGTTTACTTTTTTTCTATTAATTAGTATACACAACAATGTCTTAATAGTAAAAAAAATAATATGCTTTGATACCGTTCTAAATAAAGATTTGGTAGTGCGGTATACCTAAAGTTAAAGGTTATTGAAAAAGACCCGGGTAACTACAGTTAAAACCCTAATTCAATATCAATGGACAAAATGCTATGTGATGTTTTGAAAATATAAGAAAGAGATTAAGATTCTCTATTAACCTTACTAAAAGTAATTAAGTAAGTAATTTGAATAAAAATAAAAAATTTTAATCCAAAATTCCAGATTAATGTTTACTGATTGGTTTGATGCCCTAATCCATAATTCAAAATCGTTGTAACGGTTACCAATTCATAATATTAATGTTTACAAAATTGACGATCGCTGTTTATTAACTTTACGTAAGTACAAAATTTTGTTCTGTGTATATCTTTAAAAGCATTCAGTTAAAAATTCATAAGAGCCCATACTTTTTAACACAAAGTACCTCCAGTCAGTTTGAACCATATAATCAAATATTAAAGGCCTTGCCGTAAATCTCCCAACTACTTGCAAGCTGCACTGCGCATAGAAACATGTACATATTACTACCGTAAATGCAAGTAGACGTTCTTCGTCTACGAGAAGATAGTTTGAAATTAGCTATTCTCGCTCGGTTATCTGCCTGAAAGCGTAACGTTGAAAAATCATAAAATTAAGAGTAAAGCGAGATTGTTAGTATAGAGATTTATGTTTCAAAATTCGTCTTACTTAAATTTAATTCTGCGAACGAACTCCGAGATAAACTGAGCACATTCCATCAAAGTGTAAAAGCCATTTGCTTTATCTCCAATTTCCTTTATTATAATACTTCAATCTATTACAAAACTTTTGATGAGACAAAAATTATGCACGCCTGTCCTCTTTTATTAAAAACAATCAGAACGATGCTACTTTTAGAATACCCAAAGTAAATTAACTGTCTGATGAAGCTTCTCTATAGGAGCGTTATTTATTTGTATGTCGGACCGGACGCATGTGTTATTCAACTAGGGGAGAACCGCCTAATTGTAGACAGGGGTATTAAGAGACTTCGGCTCTTCAGGCCATCTATTGGTGGTTAATCGCGATGGTAAATGTAGATTACAACTTATTGTTCATTTGTCGAGGCGCCGGTAAAATTGTTTGGTAAGTTCTGAAATTTTTTTTGTGAAATAAATTGAATTTAAAATTTTCCCAATTTGGAAAGCATGGCTAAAGTGTCTCTTATTTAAATTAAATAAAAGCCAAACTTTGTCCCATGATATTTTCAAAGATAATCCTGTTTTCATAGGCTAATTTTGAGGTTATGTTTACAAGCATATAAAGGTGATTCGAAATTGATGCAGTTTTCTACTTTTTTTTACCTGTCTCTTATTCGACTGAAGATTTGGTTTTTCTGGTACAATAAGAGACACGCATGTCAGGTAATAAGAGACGCTTATATTCACGTCGAATAAAAGACACTATAATATTACTTAACAAAAAAATTGTTATAGTCAAAATTATGCCAAGAAAAAAGAACTCTGAACCCAGAAGGGTTAAGTATAACCTAAAAGCGCTGGAGAATGCGATTGCTGAAGTCAAGGGAGGTGTCAGCATCAGAAAAGCTGCGGTAAATGCAGGAGTTCCAGCTTCGACTGTTGGAAAACATTACAAAAAGGATAAACTTCGAATTGGCGGTAGAAGGGCGGAGTTGGGTGAAGATGAAGAAAAAACCTTGGCACAATATCTCCTCCAGTGTGGCATATATGGGTACGGCTACACAAAATTAGAAGTCCTCGAGTTTGTACGGGAATTCATCAAAGAAACCGGATTACACACAAGGTGGGGGGGAAAAGGGCCTGGTGATGAATGGTTCGTATTGTTTCTAAAACGACACCCAGAACTGTCAATCCGTAAAGGCGAATCTCTGGGCTCACAACGAGTGCGAGGTGCTGATCCATTTTTAAT